ATTAAAGAGAGACGGGGATAAATATTTCATATTAAAGTAATCTCGATCGAAATATCTCTAACCCTATGCTGCAACATGAAGACCAGCGGTGGCCTGACGAGAGGGCGAGGCATGACAGAGCAACAGCGTCTCATATGGCTGCTCTCCATGCCTGCCTGTGCTAAAGTCAACAATGCTATGCAGCAGCTCTCATGTGTCAACTACAACACTGGTGAACAAAACAAGGACATGACAAATGCTAGACAAGCACGTGACATGAAAGACACACATGCAGTTATCAGCTATCTGCAAGAGAGAACACCCTTCAGCTCAGATCCGAGCTTGCGCAGCATCTCGACAGAGGTGCATGCAGCCAGCACAGTCAATGTGGACTCAGTGAAAACTGTTGGATCAGCTATCCTGACCAACATGAATGGACAAACTGCTGCTGACTACACATTCAAGAGGAAGGGTCCGGCCATCCCCTTGGCTGCGAAATCGGCAGTAAAGATTGATGGTGAGGCAGTACAGGTGGATCCCAAGCTGCTTTTCCAGCAACTGACAATTGCTGCAAAAGCTACAGAGGATCTGGAGTCAAATATGATCTGGAGTCAATCTGTGTTCAAATATGAGCTGTGCAGTTACCCACCAGCTCTGTTTGATTCCACACTGCTGCTCCGACAGCTACAGAAGCCAGTGCTAGCAGATGCTATCTGGACACTCCTGACACACGATGCACCAAGAATCACAGGCCAAGTTTACTACGTGTTGGATGGTGGGGCACTAGTCCAGCGCATTCCATGGGAAAGTGGCTCAATATACAAAGGTATCTGCACGCAATACACAGAGTATATGTCACAAAGAAGTATGGACAGGCAACAGTCGTGTTTGATGGCTATAATGGTACATCAACAAAGGACACAACACACCAGAGACGTACGAGAGGGAATGCTGGAGCAACAGTGACGTTTGATGAAGATATGCAGGTCACAATAAAGAAGGAACAATTCCTGGAAAACAAGACAAACAAGCAGCGCTTCATCAACATGCTCAGCACCGAACTACGGGCACAGAACTGCCAGACACATCATTCTGCAGGTGACGCTGATCTCCTCATAGTGCAGAAGGCAGTGGAGTCTGCAGCCACCACTGATACTGTGCTGATCGGAGATGACACAGATCTGCTCATCCTGCTCATCTACCACACCAACCTCAAGTCATGTGACCTGTTCTTCCAACCCGAGCCAAAGAAGAATGTGAAGAAACCGCGTGTCTGGAACATGAAGTCTGTCAAGCAGCAGTTAGGCCCCGATGTATCACAGCACATCTTCTTCATGCACGCTCTCCTGGGATTAGATAGTATAATAGATACTACTTCCCGCGTGTATGGCATTGGCAAGGGAGCTTCCCTCAACAAATTCAAAACCAGTGCGCACTTCCGTGAACAAGCCAATGTGTTTGATGTAGCTTATTGAAATGTGTGTCATTGGATTCCTGGCCCCAGAAAATGTATGTTTAGCACTTAAAATCAAAGCCCTAAGTCATTTAAAAGTGGAGATATTGGGAAATATCAGGTTTATGGCGGTTATTTTGAAAAATGGCTGCCATTTCGGCTTTTAGACCAAGTTTAGCTTATCGAAATGTGTTTCATTTGATTCCTTGTCCCTAAAAATGTATGTTTAGCACTTAAAATCAAAGCTCTGTGTTATTTAGAAGCACAGATATAGGGAAATATCAGTTTTATGGCGGCCATTTTGAAAAATGGCCGCCATGGAACCTTCCACCACCAGGATTCGAGTTTTGATATGTTATAGTAGACACCTCCAAGCGCTTAAAACAGTTGAGACACTTTCAGTTGCAATTTGTCCGAGGTCATATCAAATAATGCCTGGACTATTATGTTACCACAGACTAACGGATACACTACACCGTACACTACACTGTATCCGTTAGTCTGTGTACCCCCTATTTCTTCAAACTTGGTCTTCTAAAACTTACGGATATTAATCAACTTCAGCATGCTAAATTTATGTATAAATATACCCACAATGAACTACCTGATTTTTTTCGAAATTACTTTATCAGAATCTCTCATGTACACTTTCACTTCACTAGACTTGCAACATCAATGTCTTATTATCTACCAAGGTTCAATACTGCTCTTGGTAAAAAATCACTAAAGTTTGTAGGTGTCAAACTATGGAGCAATATACCAAAACATATTAAAAGTTTACCCTTCTCAAATTTCAAACATTTCTTTAGGAAGAGCCTATTAATGATATATAAGTGAACATCTATTGTTCATTGTTTGTATTTTATGTTGTATCTGTATTGTATTGTTCATTATATTGTACATGGATTGTATTGTCACTGTACTGTACACTGTAATATATTGCATTGTATTGAACTGTATATATAGTAATGTATTGTATTTTACATTGTTTGTATATTGTATTGTAGATGAATTGTATTGTCACTGTCCTGTGCATTGTAATGTATTGTGTTGTATCGATTTGTATGTATTGTACATGTATTGTAATGTAGTGTGTTGTATAGATTTGTATGTATTGTACATGTATGTACATTATTATAGTGTATTGTATTGTACATATATTGTACACGAATCTCCAATATTGTATAAATACCGGTTATATATTGCATAATCTTTTTTATGCACTGCCTACCTCATTCCTTAGTTCGAGAGCTTCTATAAGCTTTTTTGATAGGACATTGCTGTTTTACCTCACTAACCTTCACACAGACTTGTACCTATATACATAATATGTTATCAGTTGTATATACTCTTTAGCTTTTATTTGTTTTCGTTTTCTAACCATGCACTGTATATGAGTATACGATATACATTTTGAGTATCGTTATCTTACTTGTCAATACTGTATTAACGTTTATTATATTGTCAAAATAACTGAATCTACGGAATGAGCGTTGGTTTAACTTCATTACATAGCGGAACACTGATACTTGTATGCCTGGCTGGATTCGTTTCAATCATTGTCTAATTAACCTAACCTAATTAAGTATAGTAATTAAGTAACCTAATTAAACTCATGCTTCATCTGCCTGTATATGAATTAATCTTTTCAGGGGTGGCAGACTTTGTTGACCTTCGGGTCCTTCGCCACTCCCGTGCTTCATCTGTCAAATCATGTATTGTACCCTGTTATTCACACATCTTCCGTTGTACACTGTATATATGTATGTCGTATGCACAAATAAACATTTTTGAATCTTTGAATCTTTGAATATTTGAATCTTTGTGGCTACTGTTTGATATGGGGCGCCAAGTGTCGCATGACTGATTTCGTTACGAAATTATTGATTTCGTAACTAAATGAAGTCTACAACGTGATTTAGTTACGAAATCAACTGCTGTGAGTGATTTCGTTACGAAATCAGCTACTGCGAGTGATTTCGTTACGAAATCANCAGTCCAAAGAAGTCGTTACGTTGGCGCAGCCAACAATTGGGCATTCCGAGGGAGTCTCTGAGGAGAATTATCTGGGTCAGCTTATGCTTAATTTCTATCCTGTATGGGTACGAATGCAGATCCTGAATCAAAATTCTCCTATGAGACTCCCTCGGAATGCCCAATTGTTGGCTGCGCCAACGTAACGACTTCTTTGGATTGCGGCCAACCGAGGTCCTGACTGAGGTGTTGTTCTCCTCCTCTGTCCTTGCACTCTTTTGTCTCCCTGAGAGCGTGGGGGTATTCTCTTTGGCATTGAGGTTCTTGACAGTCTCATGTACCCTGAACTTCTGTACCCATCTTAGAATGAGTCCTTTGTTTGGATAGGTGCGGCAATTGAATTCACTCTTAAAACGTGCTTGTACAGTTTTGAACGATTTGGTCGAAAAGTACGTTTCCACAGACCATGATTTCTGTCGAAGAGTCCAAGGCATCTTGAAAAACTCTTGATTCTAATCTGATTGGCAACTATTCACCTCTTTAAGTGTGAAAAATGAAAGGGTTCACATCAATATCAAAAATGTTATTAACACTTATTTGAGTTGCATTTTTTTGGGGTCACCCTGTATGTCATGTTATACCAAAAAAGCTGCATCGATCAGTGTGTGATCAATGCTAGTTGAGATTATACCCATATTGCACCCATATTGCTATTGTACCCATCCACGGATGACAGCCTCTCATATAGTGATGTTCACAGACATGTCATGTGTCACAGATAACACATCTCTGCATACTTAATCAATAATTTTGACATTGCATATTCAATTTATAATTTTAAACTTTTCACGGTAAATTCATGACTATCTTTCCATCGATAAACTGCAAGAGCGTGACTGTAACACGGGTTTATTCTTCCCTAGCAGCCGATAACCAACCACTCCACCAGTGACTGCATGTAACCCTGCTGCTGTGACTTCACTGCCACTCCCTCTCTCTCTCTCTCTGTGTCTCTCTCTCTACTCACATTATCTCCTGTAGCTTAGCAGCCTTCTCTGCCTCCTCTGATTTCAGCTTGTCATAGTCAGCTTGCAGTTTCTCCTGTGATAGAGCCAGCTTCTGTGACTGACTGCAAACAGAGACAACACAACCATACTGGAGTTTCGTTCTATATGTTCTATACCATGACTTTCGTTGTTTTTTTGGGCGTCAGGCCAACAAGAGCACCGACAGCCACAGTTTAAAAAATTACACCTCCGAAATCTCTTGCTATCGATTCCGCACCGGCCACGTCTCCGCAACCGATGTCCCACATCAGGAAAGGCCCTTTTTAACTACGCCTGCGCCACTTGTGCTTATGTAGAGAGAAGACCAACATTTATTTGTGGTGTGTAAGGACCGGGACACTCACCTCGTAACTGTTGGTTGCCCTGACGACAACAACTACACCCACCACTACAAGCGGCCATTACACAAATAATTTAATCAGTATAATACTATTATATAATTATAATTATATAATAATATTATATATAATTATTTATAATAATAATAGCAAGAGAGCATGAGATGTTGTGATGGTGCTTGCAAGTTTACGTTGTTACTTTTAGAAATGTCGCATCAGTAAATAAATGAACAAATAAATAAAACAAGAAGACCACACTGTGACGATTGAGTGGTCTCCCATGGTTCGATCTACTCTACGCCGCGCCGGGCGGCAACAGTATGCTACGCTACGCGGTGCGTTACTCACTCTCTCAGCCTGATCGACGAGATACTGTTTAGATTGTATCGCATCACGGGGTGCGACACGCTACGCTACAGTACGCTACGCTACGCGGTGCGTTACTCACTCTCTCAGCTGATCGACGAGATCCTGTTTAGACTGTATCTCGTCACGCGGTGCGACACGCTACGCTACAGTACGCTACGCTACGCGGTGCGTTACTCACTCTCTCAGCTGATCGACGAGATCCTGTTTAGACTGTATCTCATCACGCGGTGCGACACGCTACGCTACAGTGAGCTACGCTACGCGGTGCGTTACTCACTCTCTCAGCTGATCGACGAGATCCTGTTTAGCACTGTTCTCGTCACGCGGTGCGACACGCTACGCTACAGTACCGCTACGCTACGCTAGCTACGCGTGCGTTACTCACTCTCTCAGCTGATCGACGAGATCCTGCTTAGATTGTATCTCGTCACGCGTGGCGACCACCTACCCCTACAGTACGTACGCTATCGCTACGCGTGGCGTTATCACTCACTCTCAGCTGATCGACGAAGATCCTGTTTAGATGTATCTCGTCACGCGGTGCGACACGCTACGCTACAGTACGCTACGCTACGCGGTGGTTACTCACTCTCTCACAGCTGATCACGAGATCCTGTTTAGACTGTATCTCGTCACGCGGTGCGCACACGCTACGCTACAGTACGCTACGCACCGTGGGTACTCACTCTCTCAGCTGATCGACGAGATCCTGTTTAGACTGTATCTCGTCACGCGGTGCGACACCCTACGCTACAGTACGCTACGCTACGCGGCGATTACTCACTCTCTCAGCTGATCGACGAGATCCTGTTTAGACTGTATCTCGTCACGCGGTGCGACGACGCTACGCTACAGTACGCTACGCTACGCGGTGGGTTACTCACTCTCTCAGCTGATCGACGAGATCCTGTTTAGACTGTATCTCATCACGCAGGGCCGTCACCTGCCGCTGATGGGGTCTCACGCTGTCCCTCCCATCTGTATCTCCAGCGCTTCCTTCATCTGGTTCTCCTTCTCCTTCTCCTCCTTCACAACCGTGTGCACTTGCTCTGCAACGCGAGGTCAGCCAAGGTTACAACGCACACGCACACGCACGCGCACGCACGCACGCACACACGCACACACACACGTGTGTAAGCACAAACACACACACGCACACATGCACACATGAATACACCCATAAGCACACAGTAGAAAACACTGCAGATATTTAATAAGAGTCATTAGGAAGACTGAAAACACCTTACTGTGACACTTTAGGTCAGTAGGTTCAATGCTGGGATGACAACATAGGGGGCCAGGGTTCAAGTCCTGCCATGGCTTACCCTGAATGTTTCATCTTTTATCACAAGGTTATATTATTCGCCAAGTAACCTTTTTTATGTGAAACTATGTTCTGTGGCCCACGCGCAAAATATTATCACAGCATAATATGATGTAAATTATATTTAATAAAACCATTTATAAATAATTTTATAATAATAAATATTAAAAATACTTTATTCAAATAAATACATGTTGTAGAACAAATATCTCAAAATATAAATGTAAAAAAATAATGTGTAATAACTTATAGAGAAACATCAATGTATAGAAATATATCAGCCTTTAGGCTGCCTGGACAAACACTCTAGCCATCGATTATAGGAATGTATTACTGGATGGATCTCTGGATGGATTACTGGATGGATTACTGGATGGATTACTGGATGGATCTCTGGATGGATTACGTGATGGATTACGGATGGATCTCTGGATGGATCTCTGGATGGATTACTGGATGGATCTCTGGATGGATTATTGATGGATTACTGGATGGATCTCTGGATGGATTATTGGATGGATTATTGGATGGATCTCTGATGGATTATTGGAATGGATTACTGGATGGATCTCTGGATGGATTACTGTATGGATTATAGGGATGATTACTGGATGGATCACTGGATGGATTACTGGATGGATCTCTGGATGGAGTACTGGATGGATGACTGGATGGATTACTGGATGGATCTCTGGATGGATTACTGGATGGATTTACTGGATAGATCTTCTAGATGGATTACTGGATGGATTACTGATGGATTATTGAAGGCATTATTAAGATGGAATTATGTGATGTATTATAGGGTTATAATTACTGATGCTACATAGGTACACATTCATCCTGTGCTAGCCTTGGCGCTTTAACTTGACACATCCTCCTCGTTAAATCTGTCAACAGCTTCCCTCCAACTGCCTCTTCTTTAACTTCCAGACGTCCTTCTATCGATTCTACCACGTCTTCATCTTCACTTCATGCTGGCAATTATTCACTACGAACGCGATAATGGTCAGGTCAATCATCATCACACAACACAACAAACAACAACAACAACAACAACAACAACTAACAACAACAACACACAACAACGAACAACAACAACAACGAACAACAACAACCTATCATGAATACACTGTAATTGCTGCTAGTACTGTAAGGTTATAGTGTAGGGAGTAATGGTGACAGTTTTGAGATCTTAGACTGTCACCGTTCATCTACCACACTGAATCTCGCATACCCTGCTGCAGGAGTAAGGCAGCAGTCCTGAGATGTAGATGTCTGCCACCGTTCATTCTAACACAGTGTCAACTACCATGCTTGTAGGAGTAAGGGCAATGTCCTGGAGCTGGTGGTCTGTCCCCATGCGATCTTACGGTTGCTTGTCAGCTTGGCATCCTCCAGCTGGCTGGCAGCGGTGTACGAGTGGTCTTCAACCTCTGTCTTCAGCTTACTAACGTAGAGTCTCGGCGAACCTGACTCCCCATCTACGACCTTACCGTGTTCTGGACCACCTGTAACTACAGACGAGACAACCACACCCTGTACTACACACCTGTACACAACACACAGACACACACAGCCTGTACTAACACCTGTACACACACGAACACACACTAGTTACTAACATAGAGTCTCGCGAGAGTGAACTCCTCATCTACCTTCCGTCTGATCCACACTGTAACTACACAGACACACACGCTGTACACTCACCTGTACCTACATACACACCTGTAAAACACTCACTGTAAGCTAACACACCACATCCACACAGCAACCACACCTGTACACTACCTGTAACTACACAGAAGACACGCACTGTGTAACCCTCACCTGTAACTACATACACACCTGTACCACACACCTGACCGACTCAGCTACTGTAGACTACACGAGACACACACCTGTACACTCACCTGTAACTACAACACACACACACAACCTGTAACTACACACCGTGTACACACACACACACACGAGCTTACTAACAGATAGAGTCCGCGAGCGTGGAAATCCCTCATCTACCTTTAACGGGCGTTCTGATCCACCTGTAACTCACAGACAACAGCAGCCTGTCACTCACCTGTAAGCTACATAACACACCTGTAACTACAACACACACACGCCACACACACACACTGAGCAAAAGCTAACAAGGCACCACCTGTACCAGTATACACTAAACACACAGAGACACACACACTGTCAACTCACCTGTACTACACTATCACAAGAGCACACACCTGTACACTCACCCTGTATCTAAACCGGCCAAGCTGACCATACCCACACTGAACACAACACACAAACACAACACCAGTCACACCTGTAACTAACACACACACACCACAACACACACCTGACACTCAGCGGTAACGTACACAGAGAACACTACACCTGTACACTCACCACTGTATACGTACATACACACCTGTACACTCACCGTAACAACACCAGAGACAGCTCACCTGTACACTCACCTGTAACTACCACCACAGACAACCACACTGTAACACTCACCTGTAACTACAGTACACACGAGACACACACCTCGTACAGCTCACCTCGTGAACTAACACAGAGAACACCTACACTACCTCGTACACTCACCAGGCCACACCTGTAACTCACGAACTCAGAAGACACAGCACCCCTGTACACGTCACACTGTTAACTACAACAGAGCACACAACTTACACTTAGCTGTACCACCCAGCACCCTTACACCATGTAACTACACACACACACGCAGACACTGCACCTGTACACTCACCTGTAACTACATACACAGCAGAGACACACCTGATACTCACCTGTCAACTACATACCACACAGAGACCACACAACCCTGTACACTCGACCGGTCTTACACTACACAGAAGACACTCCTGTAACTCATACACACAGAGACACCACACCTGTACACCGTCACTCTGTAACTAGCATACATCATCACACACGATGTAGCTATACACACACGTCTCACCTTTAGTTCCTCCTCGCGACCTACGATGGCTCCCATGTCACCGAGGTCCCTGAGCAGAGACAGCAGCACTCAATACACACACACACACACACACACCTGTACTAATACACACACCTGTCTCACCCCCCCCTTTAGTTCCTCCTCACCGACCTACGATGGCTCCCATGTCACCGAGGTCCCTGAGCAGAGACAGCAAGCAATCCATACAGAAGCACACACCCACACACCTGTACTATACACACAACACCTGTACTATAACCCCGTCACCTGTCCTCCACGCTTTAGTCTCTGCAGTCGACCTACGATGGCTCCCATCACCGAGGTCCCTGAGCATGAGACAGTAGCACTCATACACACACACACACACACACCTG